TATCTTTCAAGTTGGATGAAACTGCACACAGTGTGCAAAATTTTATTCAAATCGGTTCAGTAGTTTAAGAGTCCATTGCAGACAAACAACGTGACACGTAATTTATATATATATTAAGATTATTATTATATAATACTACTATATTATATTATAATTCCATTATATTATAATAATTCATTAAAATAAATTAAATTATTGAATAACGTGGTACCAAAATGTAGATGAATTGATTTTTGTATTTTTTATTTTTTATTTTTTTTAGAGCAAGAGGGAAATGGGTAAAGAAATTGTTTTGTTTTTATCATTACTGTAATAATTATAGTAATAATCATAATAATAGAAGAGAAAAATGTTAAAGAATGATCGAGAGAACCTACGCAATTCTACTATTCTTTAATTAACCGAAGTATTATATTATGTATATCCTTGTGTTGCTAGTAAGATGGCAAAGTTGGCAGTTGGCAATTACTCGTACTAACATTTCTACAATCATAGATGATAATACTTATTACGTATATACATACTTACATACGTAAGGAATAAAAAAAAAAATATATATATATATATATAAATATATGAATATAACGGTACGTGTGTATTGCATGGAAATTATTTTTATCGTCTTTATATTAACTTAGGTATGTTTAGTTTTGAAGATGAGTAATAAAGATAATAATCAAATTTTCAAATCTTTTCATATAAGATAGATCGTATTATTTAAATTTACTTTTTATTTATTTATTTATTTATTTATATTATTTGTTAGTAGTTGTACTTGATTTTTTTTTTGTTTCAAATGATACATCGACGATACAATTTGCATTTTCAAAGTGGCAATGAACGATTCGACGATTGTCCAGATAAAGTTATCTATCGGTAGCTCAAAAGGAAGATCCCGATCTTATGAAAGATTGTTCGACTAATTTATAGATGAATCACGACGACTATAACCTCGGGGAAATTGCAATTATTTTCAAAGTCCATCTTCGAGAGTAGTCCTTCGTGTTGTTTTTTTTATTTTTATTTTTTATTTTTATTTTTTATTTTCATATACGATGGTATAATAATTATCTATACCATTTCCGATGCCACGTATAGATAAGATAAACTGGTGGTAACTTGAAATCTGTTTTTACTTCGGCTACTCTTCGTCAGCTGTTTAAAATGCTTTCAGGCTAGCCCAAAAGGGTTTCAACAGGATTACAGTGACAAAATGTTATGGTTCATGTTCACCTTCAAGGGATTAGGATTTTTATCATGATACTTCCTTCATTTACAAAGTTACTTTTTTTTGTTGTTTAATATTTTGTCATATTTTTAGTTCAATGAGAAAAATAAAAGATTAAGAAAAATATACAATATTTCAATAATTAACATAACAAAATTAGCATTTGGTAATATGCTAGTTATATCACTAACTATTACTATACTATAAATATCATTAACAATTCAGTGATATTTAATTTGACAAAATAATAAATTAATTAATTTAATTAAATATTTTGTTTTGAATATACAATGTTTTATAAATTACTTTTATTTATCATAATCTCAAATTGTTAAAAAATTACTAAGATATTGTGTTATATAGTTACACTTATTATTTTATTATTTGATAAATAACATAATAATAGATAAAATAATTTAATTATACATTTTTTTTGAATATAGAATATTTTATAAATTACTTTTATTTATCATAACTTCAAA